ACTGCGCTTTTAAAGTTCTGCTGGTTTTCCTTCATATCAATACCCCTCTCACTTTCTATACCATCTTGTATCCAGCCTCTCATTCCATCTACCAGCTGTCCTATTCCTTCTTCCATAGATTTTATAAATGGGACCTCAGATAAGGCTATTTACCAAGTATAGAATAGGATTTGTGTGTGGATTCTCCCTCGCCAGCACGATGTGAACAGAGTTAATTCACTGCTGACGAGCCACCACATGGAGGACATCTAGGTGCTGGCTGGAAGAGCTGAATGTTGTATGTACACGGTGAGGGACGTTCAGGTGTAGCGGATGGCTTGTCTGTCTGTTTCTGATGTTCTTCAGCATTTGCAGCCAGAAATGCTGAAGGTTGCGGTAAAAAGCGGCCTGAATACTGTGAGCGGTCTCGGTGAGAAAGTGAAAGACGTTAAACAGGGGAGTCAAAGCGAGCTGCTGAGGTCAGGGTGGACCCGAGAGCGTCAGGTGACCCGGAGGGCGTCTGCCAGGTGGTGGAGGGGGAAGAAGGAACAACCATTCGGACCAGTCGGACCTCTCTAACGTTCTCCAGCTGGGGAGTGTTTGCAGACAGGCGTGACGGGCCGCTGGCTTTACTTCCCGGGTTCTCTAACCGCCTGTGGCCACCAGCGGGGGGGGGGGGCACACTTTTGAGGTATTTATTGTTGGCCAAGCTTGCGGAAGCCAGATCACAGACGGCTTTGACGCGGCTTTCGCAAGTGAACATGAGAGAGAGAGAGGAGAGAGAAGGAGAGACAGAGAACAGAAGGAGAGAGACAGAGGAGAGACAAGACAGAGAGAAAGAGAGAGAGAGACACAGAGAGAACCAAGAGAGAGACGACAGAAGAGAAGAAAAGAAGAGAAAACAAAAACACAAAAATACCCAAAAAAAGGAAAACTAATAAAACAACACAAAACCCAAAACATAATAAAAACATACAAAGAAAACACAAGAATCACAACAGAAAAGCCGCACAAAAAAAACCCAAAACATCGACAACAAGTTGGGCAGAGAGCAGCATCATCCATCCTTTGTCATGTCTCCTGCACAGAAACCCTGAGACATCCCCAATAAGCGCGCACAGAGTAATGACTTGGCACCAAACACAGGAGCTACCAGCACCAATGCCCAAAAAGGATACACCAGATATACTGGACCTGTCCGGATTACTTTCCATTTTTGTCCTTCCCAAATCCACCAATTTCTACTATATAGGGGCTTCTCACCCACACCAAAGAAACCTTATTCATTAAGACCCGGAGAGCACACTATTCTGAATGGAAACACTAGCAGACAGTTCGTCAGCTATAATACACAAGGCCAGATCTGGAGGTGCGCCTATGCACAACGGCAACCACCCAAAACAAAACACCACACCCCGTGAACACAACGACTGATACCGCAACCAATCATCTGGCACAAGCCGGTGATCTGAAACTACACGAGCCACACCTCCAGCACGACACCAGCTGGGTGCCACAGGGCGGTTAGAGAACCGGGAAGTAAAGCAGACGGCGTCACGCTGTCTGCAAACACTCAGCTGGAGAACGTTAGAGAGGTCCGACTGGTTGTTCCTTCTTCCCTCACCTGCAGACGCTCCTCGGGTCACCTGACGCTCCTCGGGTCACCTGACCCTCCAGCAGCCTCGCTTTGACTCCCTGTTTAACGTCTTCACTTTCATTCACACCGCTCAGTATTCAGTTTTCTACCAAACGTTTCACATTTCTGGCTGCAAAGTGCTGAAGAACTCAGAAACAGACAGACAACCATCCTACACCTGAACGTCTCACCGTGTACATACAAACATTCAGCTCTTCAGCCACACTCAGTGTCCTCATGGTGGTGCTCTCAGCAGTGATATACTGGACCTCTGCTGCGATCGAATCCCAAAAGCCTTCTGATCAATAAACAGACGAGATATGATGCGATCATTGTTTAAAGTGTGTGTATGTAACGGAACAACGAGCAGAACTTTAAAGGCCCCAGTGAGTTTATGAGTTTATTATGGAGGATATAAAATAACTTGTTAAATGTATAATTATTATATAATGTGGGAAACTCATCGTATCAATCGATTATCAGAACAGCTGCATCGTTTTCTGTTGATCAACAAATTCATTTATTAAAAAAACTCCTCAAATATTCTTACTTCTCCGTGACAATAATGTAAATATATTTAATTTATTGTCTCTTTCTAACACTCACATTATCTGATCCCAAACAACACTAATCAATATATACAAGTGATCAATAACAGTGATCAATACTGATGATTTAGATCCACATTTTAATAATTTAATTGAACAGCTGCTTCTGTCACTTCCACTACAATGAGCACAGCATCCGGCTGCACTTTTCAAAATAAAAGCCTGTGTGCAGAACAGGGCGCGAGAAGTGAAACTGATCTTTACAGAAGTTGAACCATCGACCGTTTCCATGCATGAATAATTATTTAAATCATTTCTGCAGGAAATGATCCGTCTCGATCTTCTGAGATTATAAATGATTATGAATAAATCTTTAGATAAAATGAGTCATTTATGTCAGTTAATTATATTATATTTGTTTAGATCACCATGACTTTATAATAATAACATTTATTTGTGTCTTTTATGGCTGTTTATTCTTGTTTGTGTTGAGTATTTGGAGATTGTTTGTACCAAAACCAGATGAGTTCATTTAACTCATAAAACTGTTGAAACTGATTAAATTGAAACTTTTAAGTGAAACAAACTCATTTTATTGAGTTAAAAAGATTCCTGATTAAGAACTTTTTACTAGATATTTTGTTTTCACAGTAGAAATAAGAGTCAGTGTCACTTAAATTTACTAAAACTACTTTTCTTTTTTGTTTTTAGTCAAAGTAACTTCTGGTATTTCTGTGTATTTTTGTTTTTCTGGAATAGTAATTTCAGTTTTTTACATTTTTGTTCTCTAAAACAGACGAGGACTTCCTTCCTGTGTAACAACCGTCTTCTGTTTCCATTTTACTTTTTATTAATGTGCAAATAAACAAATAAAATACAACAAACAGGCTCAACCTCAGTATATTCAAATCGGATCAACTTAAATGAAGAAATCAATGAAAGCTGAGGACGATTAATGTCTTTATTCTTTTTTCCTTCAGGGACATATTTTATAGATATTTTACATTAAAATAAAACTGAACAGTGAACACAAACAGTGAACTCAGTAACTGCAGGAAGTTTGTGTAAAACCAGAGTTGGATGAATTTTAAGCAGATTGTTATGTAATTATATGTAAGATTACATTTTAAAGTCCAATACTTCTGCTGTTATTGCCTTATATATTTTAAAATATAAAAAAAACTGTTTTGTTTAGTAATACATCTTAAAACTACAATTTGACAACTGATATAAAACATATAATTTATATATATATATTGAACCAAATATTCTAAACATTCTGAAAAGGCGTGAATTAATGAGTCTGTAAACTCACATTAAATCATATTATTTATTTATTTCTCTCCTTTTGAGTGTTATTTTTATTTTAAATATATTTTGTAACTTTTTTCTCTTTTCCCTGATTTTATTTTGAAGCCCTCGCCGCTCCACTTCCGGCGTCCCTCCCGCTTCCAGCCGCGAGCTTCACGCACACACAAATGGCGAACTGCCGTCGTCAAACTGACACGTACCTGCTGTCTGCCGGCCGTCGTCCTCAAAGATCAGCCTGAAGTCCAGCTCCTCGGCGAAGTTTAACGTGGACATCGAGCCCTTCAAATGTCCCTGAGCGGCAGCCGTTGAAAGACCTGTCTGTCTCTAAAGCCGACCTGTCTCACTCACTTCCATCCGACTGAAAGCAGAACTCTTGTTTCCAACCGACCAACGACGTCGCCCACAAATTTTCCCGGGCTTAAAAGTTGTGAATCGACACGAAAGGCATCAATAAAAACGCGTCCGGGTTGCGTGGTTAACCCGCAAACGTCCCATTATTGCGTGAACTTGTTGCGTTCGCGGTTTCTGTTCGGTTGCAACTCTCCTCCAGGTTGATCCGCGTGCTGCGTTCACGCTCCCCTCGGAAACTCTACGACTCTAAAAACAGACCTGAAGTAGTTTGTTCGTTATAAATCATTTTTAAAAGAGTCAAACTTGCATTTTTAAATACTTTTTTCTATTTTTTTTGTAATAATTAGTTTCTATAGCGATAGAAGAGCTGATTATTTTTGTTTTTTATATATATATATACTTTATTTGCAGTTAGCCCCGCCCCTTTTGGCTCTGTGCTCCAATAACAGTTGAGCAACATTTCTTCCTTCCTGTACTTGTTGGTTATAAAACATTTCTACAACTTTCAATCCCACAAAAAATATATAAAAGAAATACATCTTAAAACACTAAACTGTAAATTAAAATAACCCTTTAAATGAATTCAGAAGAACAAGTTTTAACTTTAACTCACCTGAGCGACAGAAACAACAGAGCACCTGTTTAATACGACGAGCGGCTAAAGTTTCAGTGTGGAAGGCACTTTAAAAACGAGTTTACGATATTAAATAATGTATAAGGAAGGTAAAAAATGCCCACTTTAAGAGTTTCTTTCACATTTATGTTATTATGATTGTTATCTGTCATTGTAACTTATTTGTTAATAACAACAGATTAGCCTGGCACGTAGAATATCTATGTTGAAAAGACATTTTGAAGATGGTTGAAACATAAAAGCAACACGTGTTCAATATATATATTTCATATAGTTACATCTCAAGTTAGCTCATACTTGTTTAGTTTTTATTTATTCCTGGAGATTAAGATTTACAGTTACTGTGTTTAATAATTAATAAAAACCTCTTAAGTTAGTTACCTAATGTTAGAAAAACACTAGCTAACTTATTTACATCTTAAAATGTGACTGTCGAGCTTTTCAACACAGATTAGCGTAACATATATATATATTATAAAAAAATAAAATATATATAGTGAATAAAAGTATAAAAAAGAAAAAAATTACGTCACTTTAGAAGTACATTACAATTAAAGTTACATACATTTAAATGAGAGCTGTTTTTAAGTTACAATCAGGAGATGCAAATGTTGAATTTTAAGACAAAACTTAAAATCATAAAGTGACATTTAAAACTTTTTAATCATTCAGAGACAGAATCCGGATATTAAATTATTGTTTTAATTTTTAAAACTCAATTATTCTGGTGGCTCTGTACGTTTAAAGTAATCTGAATAATGTATATAATGGTCTTGTTTAGTCACTTATCTTTACATGAATCTGTTTCCTGTTGCAGCTGTGACAATTATTTCCTGCTGATATCTTATCGATCGATCGATCAGCTCGCTTGTTTTGTGCACCGAAGTGTTTCAGAGACATTAAAACAAAAAGGTTCTGTAACTTTAAAAACACTCCACAGGGTTTAATTAAACTTTACTTCTAGTTTATTTTAGTCCTTCTGAGACTCAGAGTTGCATAGTATGGTATGCGGTTGCAGTCCTCGTGTGTCCCAGTGCTCCTGAAGGCCCCATTAGACAGCCCCGGCGCTGACGTCAGCGTCTGGGTGTCTCNNNNTTTAAAACAATTCAAACAATCAGCTGTTACTGTATCACGATGCCTTCACTGTCCTCAATGTAGGGACCCTGAATGCAACAGTTTGTCAGTTTCACACCAACAACAAACACTGCGTCTGTTATCAGATCTGTTCATCTGTTCACTGGGAGTTCGTAATGAAAATAAAGAAATAAAAAGTTCCTTTAACGTATCAGAGTGTGTGTGTGTGTGTGTTGTCGTGTGTGTGTGTGTGAACTCCGACATCAGGAGTCTTCAGGAAACACGTGATGAGTTTAAGGCCCAGGGGAAAAATCAGGATTAAAAACAGAAAGGTTTCTTCTTTAAGGCACCGAGGTTAAAATAAATGAAGTTAAAGTGAAGGTGCAGCAGCGCCACCTGCTGGCTGAAATATAGATGTTAGGGACAAACGATGGAGACTTTGACCCAGTGGAAGACTGTGGGCAGATCCCAGTCTGAACGGGTTCAAGAACGGGTTCTACTGAGGGAGATCAAGTAAAAAATAAAACCATCTGAAGGAGTTTGAGAGTAAATCCTGGAAATTCGTTTTCAGGATTATTAGAAAAAGAAAAGTTTCTGGTTCAGAGAAACAAAATAAAACCAGTTCACACGTTCGTGCGCTCTCTTCGTCCCGTCAACAGTTCCTGTTCACTTTGATTGGTTGTTCCGCTCCCTGTGCTGCGTCGCCCTTCGCCGACGCCGGCACTCTCCGTCTCCCGTGTGGACGTTGTCGATTACGTGTCTTTCTGCTCCCTCTTCCTCCACGGCGCGTTGGTCTTCCCCTCCCTCTTCCAATTCTTGCAGACCAGACCGGAGTCTTCTCCCGATACGAGCCCCTTCGCCGGTACTCCCGAGGCTCGCAGGCACGCGAACGGCGGCCGCTTGTTCGGGTCGAATTTTCTTCGCTTCTCCATGAAAAGGGCGGGAAAATGCTTTAAAACAAGTGTGTGTGTGTGGTGTGGTGTGTGTGTGTGGTGTGTGTGTGTTGTGTGTGGTTGTTTGAAGTGTGTGTGTGGTGTGTTTGAGGTGTGGTCGTGTTGTGTGTTTTGAGTTGTGTGTTGTGTGTGTTCTTGAGTGTGTGTTGTGTTGGTGTGTTTTGAGTGTGTGTGTGTGTGTGTGTGTTTGAGTGTGTGGGTGTGTTGTGTGTGTGTTTGAGTGTGTGTGTGTGTGGTGTGTGTTTTGAGTGTGAGTGTGTGTGTTGTGTGTGTGTGTGTTTTGAGTGTGTGTGTGTGTGTGTGTGTTTGATGTGTGTGTGTGTGTGGTGTGGTGTTTTGAGTGTGTGTGTGGTGTGGTTGGTGTGTCTGTGTTTGAGTGTGTGTGTGTGTGTGTGTTTTGGTGTTGTGTGTGTGTGTGTGGTTGTGTGTGTATGACCACAGTGAGGATCTGTACTGTGTTCCTGCAGCAGTAACGATGGATGAAAGCCTCGATCCTGAGCGCGCCTGCAGCGCTCACAGCAACACACACCACCACACACACACAGCCCAGCACAACCACACCATCACACACACACCACCACGCGG